TCGACAGTTTTATCTGACCTGGGAGACAAGGTAGCTTATAATCCCAATACCTATTTCATGAACTGGAAGCAACGAACAGCAGTAAAAACCGATGAAGTAGCCTGCGTATCAAGCGTTTCCGCGCGAGTTCGTCGAAAAAGTTGGTACAAGAGCAAAATTTAAAAAATGACGCTCTAACTTTCACACAATAACTCGATTGGAAACGGTTGTTACACAGGCTACCGATGAAGATGCTTTAAAACACTGATGCAGACTGATTTCGAGGGAAATAAAATTCTTGCAAGGAAATACCTGGCGAAAAAATTCCTTTGGTGAAAAAATATCTTTCGCGGCAATTAATGCTGGAAAGAAATCTTGTTGTATGTCAGGGAAAAGAATCCTGTCACCAGGGGTTTGGGAAAACAAATTCTTACCCAAACCAGATCACCCATACCCCCCTCCCCCCCCGCCACCTCCCCCTCAAAAGTCAAATGGTCGACCCCTTACCTAAAAAATGTCCAAGAAGAAAGCCATTCGAGCAGGGTTTGGAGTAATTGATGATGCTTGTAAAACTAAAGAGAACCTTCTCAAAGAATGAGCACGATTGGCAAATCTGCTTTGTTTTAAAGGACAGGCGTTTGAATTACCTGTCCCGAAAATACGAACTCGTGGCTCGTTCTACCTCATCGGCAATCCGTTTTTGAAATTCCAAAACACTTTCAAAGCTGAATTTTGAAGGACTTTCTACGGACTCCTACTCCAACAATTTTTCTGAAATTTATTTGGCTTACTTAAAAATTCCACCACCCAACATGCCAGACACTGGAAATGCGAAAGATTGCCTCGAATTTTTGCCCACCAATTGTTCAATTTTTACATTGATAAACGTGACTTCACGAACTTATTTGATTAGTTTCCCAGTACAGTATTGTTTTCTATTTCGTTTTGTTTGTAAGAGCTTATTTCACTCATCTGACTTCTTCAAATCTGAGTTGCAATACATGTTTATGGTACTATGATCAATTTGTCCACTTGTTATAAAGAAATTAATACAAACGTATATCGTCATAGTCTCTGGAAGTATTCTAAACGTTTCCACTGCTCATTTGAATGGTATTTGACACCTCTTATGACGTTATCTATCGAAACCTGTAATAGGCGGACTCCCTGTATTAAGCAGACACTATAGCATTCCCCGAGGGTGTCCGCTTAATGCAGGTTTCACTGCATATAATCTTTACCCAATCTTTTGGAACTTAGCCTGAGATGTTTGTGTCTCAGTCAGTACTACTAGTGCATTCGACAGTGCTATTAGGTCTATTAGGTTCTATGGATTTAGTTATCGCTTTTACCGGTTTTCCACCCCCGGAGAACATTTCTTCAGCCATTTCCTCATCACTCACTTCCTCCTTGTCAGTCACTTCGTCTAGGTCCATTAATAGGTCGTTTTCAATCATTTCTTCTGTCTTTACCCTAAAGAAAATTACAAGCGAGTGATAGGAACTTTCAAACAGGGACGGGACTGGTTTTTCGAGCATTTTAGTGAGGTAAAAGCGATAAGTACTATTCGAGCATTTAAATGGACAACTAAGATGATAACTTTGATGCAACTATGATAACGCGATCAGTCTTCTATAGACGAAATTAATTTGGCATGCCACGACTACACAATAAGCGTTTTGGCTAACGACTTCATAAGGAAAGAATTCTTGATCACTGATGTAAACAAAGCTTGCGAGTGTATCAAGGCGCTCTTGACAATTGGTCGGCGTTCTGAGTTTCGCCCGGGTTTGTTAGGACTCGTGGGAATTTATTACCGCATTCGTGGAGGATTTTGCTTTGTGTTTCCGCTTTCGTTTTATTTATTTATTTATTTATTTATTTATTTATTTATTTATTTATTTATTTATTTATGACATGCGTTGCCACCTTGCTCGAGAATCGCTTGGGATTTTCTTGGCCGTGGGGCTTATAGTTTGGTGCTCTTTCTAAATGTAAACATGTCGTCCCGAAATTGTGTGTCCCTAAATCACACACACTCCCCGCTGGTTTAGATACAAAAACTATAGTTTGGCGCACCTGCCTTAATTTGTCCAAAACGATGTATCGCTAGTGAGTTTAGCATTTGGTGGGAGTTAACGCCTTTTTCTGTTTATTATTCTTTTCTTGTGTGGATATTCCGGCTCCTGAATGGCCTGGAGTGAGCTAGTATGTTGAGCACAATAAGTTTTTCCTTTATCTGCCAGCAAATACTGAACTAGTCTACTATACAGCCATTTTTGAGGGTCTGCAACCCCAAGACTTTTGAGCGATCAAATTATGCTTTGTGCAGTCTTGTATTCACATTACGAATAATATAATGTCATTACACTTGCAATAGTAGACATTGCTCTGATGTAAAATGGCACAAGATAGTTGAAGGCCTTCAGACTAAGATACCGGTACTTTGTAATTACCTCTCTTTTATTTTAACGTCATATCATTTAAAAATGATATGACGTTAAGGTCTCTAAATAAAGACCCCCGAAGGAAGTATTCCTACTCTGGCGCATCGTTTCTGTAAATTGATAACGTCTTTGACAGTGCCGATTTAAAAAAGCCATCTTTAGTGATTTTTTCAAAAAGCTGTTATTAGTAAAATTCAAGACTCTTGAAAATGAATTAACTGGCGATGAATGGCGAGATTTAGAATTTTAAACAGACGTCGCATGCCGACAGTAATTCCCATATTCCCAACTACTTCTCTGGTAACCAACACATGGCAAACGCTTAAGGGGGCGCCCAGCAACAACATTCATTAACCAACTAGAGAGTGACACCGGTCTTATGACGCAGGATCTTACATCTCTGATGGCCAACAGACGGGAGAGGGATAGAGTTACCAAATCGGTGCGGGTGCACCCAAAAATG